TTTGTAATACCCATTTAGAATAACCTCATCCTTATTTATCAATCACGAATCAGATGAAACAAAAAATTATCAACAAAAACGAACGTCGATTGCTAATACGTCAATTTCATCTACAAATAGGAAATTCCTAACCTGATTTTATTTGTGTGTCAAGAAGCGAGATACGTTTTGTCACTAAAACGACAGGTACCGTGCGTTCAATTTATCTTGATAACATTTTAATTCGCTGTAACTTTTTTGTTTTTGAAGGCATCAAGGTAAATAAAAAAACAAAATGTAGGGTTAGTAGCCAAGTTTTTTTTTCAAGTTACCTATAAAACAAAACACTATCAATTTTCTGACATATGAGCCAACATTATATTTTTTTAAATGGAACACCCTGTATATTATATATGTGTTTGATAGAATATCTTATTCCGATTACAATGATATAATACACTCCATATTTTAGTCCACTTGTTTTTGACAAATCGGCAAAAATATATGAAACTTTTGAAGTGAAACTTATTAGGCGGCGATCTGATATTTGGGGAGAGAATCATTGATAGTGCATATAAAAATATCATATTTTTGCCGATTTGTCAAAAACGAGTGGACTAAAATATAAAGTGTGTTATATCATTGTAATCGAAATAAGATATTCTATCAAACGCATATATAATATACAGGGTGTTCCATTTGAAAAAATATAATGTAGGCTCATATGTCATAAAATTGATAGTGTTTTGTTTTATAGGTACCTTGAAAAAAAACTTGGCTACCAACCCTACATTTTGTTTTTTTGTTTACCTTGATACCTTCAAAAACAAAAAAGTTACAGCGAATTAAAATGTTATCAAGATAAATTGAATGCACGGTACTTCTAAATAGGTATTAAAAATTCTATATAATAGAGAGTTATTGGAAGTGGAATAAGGTCCAGCAGTAATAATAAAAACGCTATATTGACAGCTGCGCTTGCGAGTCTCTTCCAACTCAAACAGCACATAGCACAGACGCTGTAGACAATTACTCAAATATGACTATGCTAGACGAAATAATTAATAATAAATCAATGCAATTTATTATTAAAAAATCTCCTTACGACGCCTACATTAAAATAGAACCCGCAAATTTTGACCGTAATAAAATCATTCATGCAACTTTACCTACCCAAATTCCAGCTATTTTGAAATTTCCAGAAGAATATCTGCAGACAAAGTCTACATACATTTATTTCTTTTCGAAAAATCTTAAAATCTATTTCCACGAAGGTAAAACAAACCACCGTGGTATTGACGAAACACACAAATTTATGAAAGCCAATTATTATTGGAAATCTTTAAAACAAGATGTTATCGAATACATCAATAATTGTGAAATTTGTCAAAGAACTAAATACAATCGTAAGCCTCCTTACCAACCCCTCGTGCTTACCGAAACGCCAAGTAAACCTTTTGAAATCATTCATATTGACACTTTCATAATAGGCAAACAAAAATTCCTCACGTTATTAGATAAATTTTCCAAAATTGCTCAAGCACTGCCCTATTCAGGAAACGCAGTTTCGTGCGCAGATCAATTAATTCACTTTTTCCAATTTTTCGGTGTACCAAGACATATTTCTGATAATGGATTGGAATTTAAAAACGAAGTAGTCAATGGACTTCTTAAAGCCCACAAGATAAAAATACATTTTACCACCCCCTATCACCACGAATCTAATTCACCAGTCGAAAGGCTACATTCTACTCTAATCGAACATATTCGAATATTGCGAGAATCAGACCCAGATTCGGATGTCACCAAACTTATGCCATACGCTATTATTGCTTACAACAGCACTATTTTTAGCACTAATTTTAGTCCTTACGAACTCGTATTAGGACACACAGATTCTAGAGACCCTATGAATTTAGTATCTTCTCACGTATTTACTGAATATCTTAATACCCACAAAAATAAAACTCAAGTACTTTATGATCAAATTACGACCAAAACCCAACAATCAAAAGAAAAACTAATTAACAAAATAAACGAAGACAAAATCTCACAAAACTTAAAAGTAGGTTGTCAAGTTTATAAAAAATCCGACAATCGAGCGGGAAAATCTAAAAAGAAATTTTTAGGTCCTTTCACTCTCACCCAAATTCTACCTAATAATAAAATTGAGATAGAAAATCCGAAAACAAAACATAAAGAAGTAGGTAATTCATATAAACGAAACCAAAATTAAACCCATTATTTTAGATGGATATGGACCCTTGGAAACCACGTAAAATTCCATAACTTGAATAAAAATCCAGGAATCCTCCCTTTCAAATTAGGAACCGCCAAAATGATATCCAATTCATGGTCCTTTGAACAAACCTTTAACTTGACTCCCATCATAAACTAATTCGACTCTCTTAAAATACAAGCAAGACGCTTATCTTCCAATATTAGCTCTAAGGACAATTTCTATATTGAATATACGAATTCGCTCGTATCCCTACATACTCTAGAAAAACGAATAGAAAATCTAATTGAACAAATTGTCCCAATAGTAGGAAATTCAAATAGAAATAAGAGAGGATTGTTTAATCCTTTGGGCTCATTTATAAAAGTCATTACTGGAAATCTAGACCAAAATGAGGCCGAGAAAATCGACGAGAAAATTAAACTATTACAAGAAAATCAGAATAAGCTTAAATCAGACGCAATCAATCAAATCACCTTAATGGACTCTACGATTGATAAATTTGAAAAAATGATTTCTAATATAACACATAACGAATTGGTCCTTCGATCCCGAATTTTACAAATTGAACAAGTAATTAAAGATGCTAATCTAACCCAAAATATTCAAGATTATTTTATAACGTTCACAGTAATTGATGAAATTACTTTAATGTATCAATCAATTTATAGTATTCTTGATAAATTGGAAGTAGCTATAAGTTTTGCCAAACTTAACACCTTACATAACTCGAGAGTGAACCCAAACGAACTTTTATCTGAAATTAAAAATGTCGAATCACATTTGAACCCAGATAGGTTACCAATTTCTCCAGTACCTTAAAACATACTGATTTTTGAGAAATTTCTACAAATTAAATGTTTCTTAAAAGACTTTAATGTCAAATTTATATTGGAACTCCCACTTGTAGAAGCGGATGTATATCAATACTTCAATCTACATGTAAAAACACCCTATATACCGTCTTATCTCGTTAAACCGTTTTGATTTAAAACGTTTTAAAAATGTGTTTCAACCAATTTGATAACGGTTTAAATAGGTACTGCATAAAAACTGCTTGGTATGACATTTAAAAACTGTTTCGGGGAAAGCCCCATAGACGTATAAGCACAGCAGTGGCGTATCCAGGGGGGGGCAAAGGGGTAATTGCCCCCCCCCCAGAGCAACAACTTCTCATTTTTTAAAAATATCTCAAATAACAGAAATAATATTATCTACCCGCGTGCGCAAAGTTATTACTTTGTACACTCATTTGCGTACGTCATTTTTGATTGATGTTATTTTTGTTCCAAGAAAAGCATTCAGTTAATGTTTAGCTTTTTTAATTTGACACTTTCCGTATGACCAGCAAGGGAGGAGAAATCCAGCAAAAACAGGCCACCAAGTTTAATAGATACATTTTTGAATTTTTATATAATGAACAGGTAGTGATTTCTACTCTATTTTTTATTGCATTTTTGACGTGTGTAAGTCCTGGAGAGTATAATACCATTCCTTTGGAGTATCAGATCATAAAAGTTAGACAGTAAGTTATACTCCTTCATATACTTCCCAACTTAATGGTCTTGCGAAAAGAATGCATCAGACACCAATGGACAAAGCAAGATCTATGATAATGCAAGCAAAAATGCATAAGATATTTTGGGAAGATGCTGTACTTGTTGCTATGTAAAACTAAACTGCTGGAACTTCGATACGCATAAAAGTAATTTATTGCCTATTTTTGAAGTCAAATATCTTAGAAATTATAAGAGATATTTGATATCGGTTTGGAGCATACTGTGGCGCATTGCTTGGTATTTAAGGTATATGGTATCGTACTGATGAAGAGAAACGTTATCTACAATATACAGGGTGGAAAATAAAACAGTGCAAAGTTTAACAAATTTCGAGGCGTCGCCATTTCTCTTCAAACATACTCCTGATTTTTTTCTGGGTTTAAGAATAATCAGTAGTTCAATGATAAAAAACAACTTGAAGGGTTTTTGAATAACTCTCGTAGTTTTGCAGAAATTACAGTTTAACTGAAAAACGACACCTTGAAACTTTCATCACCCTGATTTTTTGTCTCAGTCACTTGGAACAATTTTCTTCATTATTGTTGGTTCAACATTTCCGTCTGTTTTCGTGTTTTAAGAAGATTTTATACAGGGTGGAAAAAAAAGTAAGTTTTTAATACTAATTCTAATTATTCGGGGTACTCTGTAAACATAATTGCGCTTCAGAGTAACTAGAGATAGTACGCGTCGTAAAACGTAACATGTACTGCGATTTCTATGGAGAACAGTGCTCTTTGTCAATTGATATGGCACCAACCTTTCTCTGCTTGATTGTATAACCATTCTGAGAGCAAAATATGATAATAATATGTTTCCTACATGGAAAAGCTATTCTGTTTACGAGACGCTCAGATATTTGGTGAATTATTAGCACCTACCATGTCATAAGGGGGGGCTATTTATACAGGGTTGGTGAAAAGTACCGGAACGCTTGAATCTCTTTCAAACCCGGTTAATCTGCATTCTCAAATTGCGTTATCTGCACAACAACATACAAGTATATAAGATAGCTCGAATTAAATTAAATTGACTTTGAAACCGTATTGAATGTCTTAAAAATTTCTTTGAACACTATCTAAAATTAATACATTTTTAATTCAAGGGTGATATCCTAAAAAATCATATAAAATTGAGGTTGCTATGACCATTTGGATTGCTATGACAATTTGGATTGATTGTCAAGTTAATAATTTCATGACTTTAAATTGATATTTTAATTTAAAATGCGTAGATTGACTAGAGAAGAAAGAGATAATTGTTTAAGGCTCTTACACGAAGGCAAGACACAGCAAGAAATTGCAGATTTTTACAATGTGCACCAAAGCCGCATATCCAGGCTTCAAACCAGATTTCGGATAACTGGAGACCACAATTACCAGTACGGTGCCGGCAGGGGAAATCGTAAGATTAATGTTCGAGCAGAGAGGACTTTGTTACGGTTTGCCCGCCAAAATCGCACGAAATGTTCCAGGATCTTGAATTATAGTTTTAGGCGAGAAACTGGAATTCGAGTTTCTGACCGCACTATAAGGAAAACCATGAATAAAAATAACTTAAGGTACGCTTTAAAAAGCTGTGTGCTAGTAATTTTAAGTTGTATGTTGTTGATGACAACGTTAATTTCAGAGCTAGGAGAATGAATAAATGCACTAGGCTACTGCAGGCTCATAGAGCTGCCCGGCTTACGTGGGTACAGCGGTATAGATATTGGAACAATCGAGAGTGGATGCACTGTATGTTTTCAGATGAGACGAGGTTCAACCTCATCCAATCGGATGGAAGAATTCTGGTGTGGAGAGAGCCAAATCAGCGATACGAAGAGGAGAATATGGCTCCACAGGAAGCCTTTGGTGGTGGAGGCATCACAGTGTGGGCTGGAGTTATGTACAACGGGAGAACCGAATTGTATATCACTCGCCACACTGTAAATGCTGTAACCTATCGGGATGACATTATTCTCCCAATTGTAGTCCCGTTTACGGCGAATTTTGGTCGAGATTTTCAATTTATTGATGACAATGCTCGGCCACATAGGGCCCAAATCGTAACAGAGACTTTGCAGGCTAATAACATTATTCGGATGGATTGGCCTGCAAAATCTCCCGACCTCAATATTATAGAGCATGTGTGGTCACGGTTGAAATTAGCGGTGAGATCTCGGGACAATCCTCCACAGACTCTCGACGAGTTGAGCCAAGCTATCACTGAGGAATGGGAAAACATTCCTCAAGACTTTATCCGTCATTTAGTAGATAGCATGCCCCGTCGGTGCGCAGAAGTAATACGCGTTAGAGGTGGACCTACGAAATATTAATTATTTTTGTTTCAACTTCCATAGATTTTTTTATTTTTTGTTAATTTTATTTATTAAAATGTAGTCTTATACCTATAGTGTTCGAAGATATTTTATACTGTTTGACAGTCAATTTAATTTACATGAGCTATTTTATATATCCATATGTTACTGTGTTTATCTTACATACTGATTCCAAAATATATTGCTGAAATTTTTAATGGTTTTATTGAAAGAAGCGCAAAGCTGGTAAATCTTGCAGCAGCGCCGATGTCATTGAGTCATTGTCCAATTTTGTTTGCCCAGAAGCCTCCAGATAACGAAATTTGGGAAAGCATCCTTAGCGGGTTTGAAGAGATTCAAGCGTTCCGGTACTTTTTACCAACCCTGTATAAAAAGCCCCCCTAATGACATGGTACATGCTAATAATTCATCAAATATCTGAGCGTCTCGTAAACAGAATAGCTTTTCCACGTAGGAAACATATTATAATCATATTTTGCTCTCAGAATGGGTATACAATCAAGCAGAGAAAGGTTGGGGCCATATCAATTGACAAAGAGCACTGTGCTCTTTAGAAATCGCAGTACATGTTACGTTCTACGACGCGTACTATCTCTAGTTACTCTGAAGCGCAATTATGTTTACAGAGTACCCCGAACAATTAGAATTAGTATTAAAAACTTACTTTTTTTTTCCACCCTGTATAAAATCTTCTTAAAACACGAAAACAGACGGAAACGTTGAACCAACAATAATGTAGAAAATTGTTCCAAGTGACTGAGACAAAAAATCAGGGTGATCAAAGTTTCAAGGTGTCGTTTTTCAGTTAAACTGTAATTTCTGCAAAACTACGAGAGTTATTCAAAAACCCTTCAAGTTGTTTTTTATCATTGAACTACTGGTTATTCTTAAACCCAGTAAAAAATCAGGAGTATGTTTGAAAAGAAATGGCGACGCCCTGAAATTTGTTAAACCTTGCACTGTTTTATTGTCCACCCTGTATGTTGTAGATAACGTTTCTGTTTATCAGCACGATAGCATATACCCTAAACACCAAACAATGCGCCCCAGTATGCTCCAAACCGCAATCAAATATCTCTTATATCTACTTTCTGAGATATTTGACTTCAAAAATAAGAAATAAATTACTTTTATGCGTATCGAAGTTCCAGCAGTTTGGTTAATAAAGTCACATGGAAAAATATCATCCTGGTTGCAAATAAAGTCAAGCTGAGTGTCTTTTCCGCATTGAAAGCTTATACAAACTCCACTTCGCGTCGTTTGTCTAACTGCTTTTTCGTGCGAGAAAGTATCACTTTGCGCACTTGTTAGGAAAATAACTTATTTTTTTATAGGTATGTATTACTACAATGGTATTACACACCTTTGAATTCAACTTTAGCTTGGGTTTGTGTTTTGTGTTACATGGTCACTTGTTTCTTGAAAGTCGATTTCTCAGGAAAATAAATAATTTCATTTATCAACCTCTTATCGTTTCAATGACCAGCCCAAACATTTTTTCTGTGGCGGCTCGCAGGCTAATAATACGGAACCTAAGTACCTTATTTTTCGGTAAAAATATATTTTTTGCCTTACATAAAAGTAGAAGCGCGCGAATATGCCATCAAGATGTGTGATTTTAACGGATTTTGGGCGTGGCACCTCAAAAGAACGTTTTAGCGGTTAAAACGGTTCAACGGAAGCATAAAATTGGTAATTGAAGTATAAACACAGGATAAAACGTTTTAAGTTCGAAAACGTTTTAGCGTTTAAAACGCTTTGGCAGAAGCATAAACTTGATAATAGGGGTATAAATACAGGATAAAACGTTTTAAGTTCAAAAACGTTTTAGCGGTTAAAACGGTTTAACGGAAGCATAAACTTCGTTAATGTCTCTGACTGTCACTATTTTCAAACTTCTGACAGACAGGTAATGTTCCGTTCTCGCTTACTTTTTTTCTTTTCTTTATTAATTTAGGTGCCGGTACTTTTGCTCCCATTTGACAGCCGCTAAAAATAATCAGGGGTTTGAATGTGCTCTAACCACATCATACTTATAGATCTTGGCCCATGCAAAACTTTGACAACGTATCAAATTCGTTTATCAAGAGCAAAAGTATCGGCCCTCAGTATATCATTTTATGTCCGATTGATCAATAAAGTGCTATTTATAGAACAGTTTTGAGTCAATAAAATAGCAGTTTATTGTACTAGTAAAATAAAGTGCTACTTTATTTTACTAGTAAAATAAAGTGCTATTTTATTGCCTACCTGGACTACCTGACAAAGTGAAACAGGCCCTGACAACCTGCCAAGGTGAAACAGGTCCTGACAACCTGCCAAGGTGAAACAGGTATACCTACGCGAATTTTACTTTCTTCATTAAATTTTTCTAATTTTTAACAAAAACCAGTCGTAATCGTACATAAAATTATGTATATAACGCTTACATAAACTGTAACGTTTTCAATTTCTTGGCTAATAAGCTAGCTTGTTTTGCCATACTGGATATGATTCCATATAGAGCTACAATGAAATAAATGAATAAACAACTATCTTTTTTGTGCCCAGATTTTGTTACCTTGAGTCCTGCCTTCTATTAGAAGTTTTTTTGGTTCAGGTTTGCAAGTTTGGTTAATTGATCTAGGAAGGTTTGATTCAGTACGGCAGGGCCCGCTGTTATTGATTAGAATCTTAGGAAAAGGAGTTAGTACCATCACCATCTCTGTTTGCAAATCCAATCAATAACCTGAGGTTATGATAATAATTGTTGTTTTTTTGTACTCTTTGACTTTTCATTTCCATCATGTCATTGAACAGCTGTTTTGTCTAGGCGTTTTCTTTAGACCTGGGCCGAGTTCAGAAATAACGCACAGGGTGCGAGTGCGATTTTATGGGTGTGTCTGAATTGACAATTGGCCATTGGGCCCATAGCACCGTCTAGCATTTTTGAACAGCAAGGGCGTCGCACCGATGTCACACTCACACTGGGTGTGTCATTCCTGAACTCGCCCCAGTTCTACCTTTTGATATATGTTCTATAGGCACTTTTCAACATTCACCAGTCATTTTTTACACAACCGATTCTCAGTTCGTACTTTTGGGGTGAAACTGAACACGTCCTTTTCTATAATTTTCTTCAATGTCAAAATTAGAAGTTTGACAGATGAAAGTCTTCTTCCGAAATCTAAATTCTAAATGAAGAATCTGCCCTTTTGATCTGCGACCTCACGCTGAGTAGTCATCCGGTCTCGGGCCTCGGCCCTAATTGTTTTTGGGGCGAGACTTTTTGGAATTTTGTGCCAGAGAGCTCAAGTTTTAGACTAATTTCTTGCTGATAATTGTCTAGAGTCGTCCCTTGGTCATTTTTGGATTCTGTTTCGGACTGTTCCGAGCAGCATTTGGAAGTTTAAGACTTCACCTTTGGTCTAGAGTATCCCTCAATTTGAGGTAAGATTATTTCTAATATTTGGGGCTCGATTTGTTTTTTTATACGAACAACGTTATAGGGTCCTAGTCTCAGGCTATAGTTGGACAATCCTACTCCTACTCCTAGTCTCAGGCTATAGTTGGACAATCCTACTCCTACTCCTACTCCTAGTCTCAGGCTATAGTTGGACAATCCTAGTCTCAGGCTATAGTTGGACAATCCTAGTCTCAGACTATAGTTGGACAGTTGCTAAGCAGTATTTAGAGAGATTCTAGACTGGATCTAGATTGCTCTCAGTTGGGGCTTTGGTAGCAATTCTTCAGCAACTCTCTTGGTGCCACTCTGGCAGAACCACGTCGCGTTCTACGTAGAACGGATACAACGTGGATAGGACTCATGACTCACTTACCATACCTTAGCCTATCTGTAGTGAGACCAAACCTGTAGATAATCTCACTTTGGAAACTTCTGGATTTTCACATACATTTCACTGTATACATGTAAGTTGCACCTTTACTATTTAGGCAAATCTTATATAAATCATCTGACACCGAATTATGTCGGTAAGTGCCCCTTAAATAAAATTCTAGAATTGTACCCTGAGGTTGCCCTAACAATAACTTTCATCTTTCTGTGTTTAATTTGCCTGTTGGTAAAGTGTAACCCATACTGTAG